TAGTGTTGTTTAAGAAGACAAAACTTGAAAATATAGCTGGTGAAAAATGCAATTTTTTTAAATTTTTTTTAGCATATATATACACCAAAAACTACTCGACTAATTTTGACCCAAATTTCTAACTTTTGTAAGAATTAGAAAACCACAGAGTAGTTTAGACTGGGATCAAAACAAATTTGTCAAGTTCTATATATTCAATCCGCTGTGGGTGGATTGTCAACTCGGTCGAATTACTTCACTAATAGGTTGAGTTACACTTGCAGTAAAGTACACATAGGACATTCACACATAGGACATTCACACATAGTATACAACGACATATTTTATATTTGTTCATGGGCGAAGTTTAGCCGTTATACAGATAAAATATATTATTTTACTTTAAATTTACAGTTCATAAAATTTTCTAATCCCTACTTGTAATATTATATTAATAAACCTATAGAGAAATTTACAAAATCTCATTTCACATATCATAAACTTATATTCTATACTGCATACAAGCAAGATGCAAACGTCATATGTGACACCAACATGGTATACAATTGTGTCATAGTTTTGGTAATTATCACCAATGGGACTAACTATATAGGTATATAAAGGCACAAAAAAATCACGTGTAAGAAAACAAAATTTTAGATTAACGTGATATTATGCCCAGTAATGTACTATGTATTTATGGTACATTACCAAATAACCAAAAAATTGTATTTGGTTAACCATTAATTCCCCCCCCAATGATAATTTTCATCAAATTAATTTCAATGACCTCCTGTCCTAGTTTTCTGCGCAAATGTCATTTTTGACGTTTTTTAGACAACCTGCATCATGGGGACAGTAGACGAAATCGATTTAACACTTAAGTATCATAAAAATAGGTTCCTATATTATTAAAACCCGATTACACCATTACCTTTGCTTAGTCATAATGATCGTTTTCTTTTTAAATCTAATACATTTTAACGATCATCATATTGTTCGTTATCTTAAGATTTTGCCAATAATAACACGTATATTTTTTGCAATTGTTATACACAATAAGCTGTTGGTATTAAACTGTTTGTTACTATTAGCTTTGCCGATGTTTTGATTTTACTGTTTACAGATTTAATTATTTAAAAATGGCATTGAATTAATTGTTGATAATACGCCTATAGGATCTCTTTAAAATTTATAATTCCTCCATTCGATACACTGAAAACAAATATAGTTTAAAGATTTATTTTTAATTCAAATAATTATTTTTTAAATTAAAAAACAAATTAACAACAATCAGAAATAAAGCAATAAAACAAAACAACCTTATGATAACACAAAATCATTCCTACGAAATCAGATATGGTTTATTCGACTTAAATTAATTTATATGGGATATTATTATCAATTAATGCGAATGCATTAAAATTATTTCCACTGAAAATAAATGTATATATTATTATATTAATTATTAATAAATTTGAAAGTTGTAAGGGTATGTAATTTTAATTAGAATATGAATTTATATAAACACTTCTTTACAATACATTTTTGTAAGCTGCATAGTTATAAGCACTATATAATATATATTATATTATAGTATAGTATATACTATATTTAAAAATACCATAATTTCATGTTGAGGACTGCAGTCATTAAATATAATATACAAATCGTAAATTTATTTATGATGTGATAAATAAGTGGCTATAAGAAATTTAATTTCCCTTATATTTGCATAATTTATTGAAATACGAATTAGGTTTAAACGTTTTAGTTTAACTGTCATCCTTTACTAACAGTTCTTACCTTAAGACGATGCTGATTGCTAAATTTATTGAAAATGAGTAGTGAATTAAATTTATATTTTTTATTTATTTATTTAATACGACATTTACAGTAATATTTCAACCTCACGTTTCGATTTTCATATCCTGTAAAGTAAAATCCAAGTTAATAAAAAGATAACAAATATGAACAAATCAACCTTATATCTATCCAGTAAGTAAGCATTGATTGGTTACAAATTACATAATATACAATATATTATATCTGTTAGTAGGTACCTACTACCTACTACATTATAAGGTATGCCTAATTAACAATTTTTAAGCGTACATCGGGCATATTATTATAACACAGTCAGTAAATAAATAGTAGTTATAGTTATAATAATATATTATAGAAATTATAATAGTATATTATAGTTCTTGAGTAAAATTCAAAGCAAAATAATTTATATAGGTACTCAAAAATATATATTTTCTATTACAAATTTATGACGGTAAAAAAATGTAGAACAATTTGAAAAAAAACTAAATAGCTGGTATATTTACTATTATATTGGACATGATTACATTTTCGTTTACATACCTACATGATTTTGTGTTTATTCAATATGTAGAAGAACATTTTTGTAACCTGAGTGGTAAAACTAACTTTTCCCGATTATCTCTTTTTAAATTTTGACGTTCCAGAACGCGTTTATATTCATCTCGCTTTTAACTTTTTTCAATATAACGATAATATTATATTACATTCTTTATCTCTATGTGTATCGATCTTTTGTACCGAGCCGTCGCGCGTCGTCGGCATACATTTTTGCGTGGTCATACATATCAAAATATGCGTGATATTCAAAACCAAATTATAATGTGGTTATTGGTTTAGTTTCATTCAGATCATGTATATACTTGTATAGGTAATAAATTTTAACTAGAATTCTAATGTTAATGAATTTGAATATTTTTTTTTGCGCATCTAGAATTATACCCGAGTATGATATAAATTTGATTCAAGAAGTTTAGTTTACAAATAATATGTAAAACTTACTTTGCATATTTGAGCATTTAAATGCATATATTGATTGTTTCTAGATTACTTAACATAATATATTAAATTATAATATTATCATTTGTCATCGTTTGTTTGTTTAATATTAATTTAAAAAAGAAATCATCGATAATATTATTGTGTTTATAAGTTATAACACACCCAAAAAATCAGGAGATTAGATGTTTATAAATTATAAACTAGCGGCGCAGTGACTGAATAGTTTTATGAGTAAAAAGTTACTAAATGATAATGCGTCTAATATTGAATATTATATTTGATCTTTAACATCCGATCTCTAGTAATAACTTATAACATATAATAACAATTAATTATATACATATAAATTATATTGTCGTATAGATTCTCTCCGAGGGCTTCTCAGATTAAGGTCACTGTACTATAATTGTAGGCCGTTTCCAATAAACCTATTTCTATTATAAAATACACAAATTTCCATTTTGACATCAGTTCGTTGATCACCCGTCGTTTAATGAAGATTTGCACAATTTATCAAGAAACCCACGAATAAGTCGTTTTGGTCGGATTTCGTGTATTATTTTTATTATAGTTGTTCCGTTCCGACTTCAGAAGGGGCTTATTATCTTTGCGAGATATTTCATAGTCCGGGGCTATTGCCGCAAGAGTTAAACTGGTCGTGTGCGCCCAAAAGGTAAATTACAAGAATAAAAATAGAAATTTACCGTTACCTATACGACGAGAATCTTCCCGAAGTATGTTTAACATTATACAACTCATACTACATTATAATAAATACTGACAAACTCGCTTCCACACAATGTTTTGTATGACCACCACTGACCACCTGAAAATAATCCGACCACTCTCTCCGAAATGGTACACGCTACATATTATTCAAAATGTAATATTGTTATTACACGGACGGATCTGAACTCTGACAGATTTAATAACGTTCCTTCGCGTGTGTACCCCGGTTGTGTTTTATGAATTCAACAACACAAATAGTCCGTCGATCCACACGAAATGTGTTTTGAGTGCGAGTGCGAGTGAGACAGAGGAGAGAGAGTGAGAGGGAGTAACATGTCGCGCCCGCGAGGATTTCGTGTCAGAAACACGGAGTGGCGACCCCGGAACGACTGTCTGCCTTCATATCCGCCGATAAGGATCTGTGGCAAAAGATAACAGTGACTAACCGGAAGTCGAAATTGTAATAACATGATGTGAGTTGTGAACGAAAATTGTCTTATCGTTGTGCTAGTACACATTTTAATAATGCGTGTAATTACTATTTACCACCCACTAACCCGGTTAGGTTAATAATTATTGTTTTTGAAGAGCAGTGTTCAACAAAATATGGTGAGATTGTTATAACGGGTCTTTCCGTGAGCATTTTACTCCAATGCAATTTGCATAAAATATTACAAGCACGTAAATCATTATTTAATAAGTACCACTAATTGATGGTCTGTTTCTCAACGTTTGAAGAAAAAAAAACACTTGTTATAAAAATTGTTACGAAATGTTATTCCATATAATTTGAAATCGGGTTTTTTCAAACAAAAAATGTTAAAACTTATATTATGTTTAACATAGAAATAGTGGTTTTGTTATAATGCATCTATAAAAGCTATTATACGAATTATCTATAATTAAATCGTTATAAATGATGAAGATTATTACAAACGTGTCTTCGAAAGTAATTAATAATTATTATTGTTATGCCCGGTCGTACCTATAACATCTACGGCAACAACAATAATAATAATACCCATAGTCTTTTGCCATCTCATATTAAATAATAAAATATACTTGCGATGAATAATAAATCATAATAATCTAATCTAACAATAAAAGTAAAATCAGGCCACTCGAGGAGGATTCGGAAGCAAATATCAAAAATCGATTAGTCAACTATAATGTATTGGCATCGTCATTATAATGATAAACGGACAATGGAGTTATAGAAAATATTATGATCACTGAGCCCCGCGTGTGATTTAGGAGATGGTAGAGGGAATCGGGGATACAGTGAAAGGTGGTCGGGTAGTAAGTGGTCATAGTGCTTTTGATTCTCGGACCATCTGCATGTATGTGAACGCATTGTGTTAATAAAACTATTAATACTATTATGATGTTTTTCCAGGTAGATTATTCGTTTTTGATTATAAGAAGTTTTTTTTTTTTTTTTAAACTATGCTATGATTTTACAGGTATTGTTGTTTTGTCTTATCGCTTATGGACACAGCAGACCACAGGAAACCGATGAAAACGACGAGATCATAAGAGAGGCGAAGAGAGACAATAAACACTTCCAACAGTAAGTAAAAACATTTTTGTTTTGCACTTCTTGAAAGTGATACGTCAATTAATGTATATAATATATTATAATAATTAGAATAATAATTTACTATCAACAACACTACACCTTAACAAATAATAATAAACATTAAACACTGTACAAAAATGGGTTTAACACTATATTAATGCATCTGATAACTGCAACTGACTTGTAACTTAATAAGATAATATTATACACTTGGTACTGACTGACAAAAGTTTTAAGTTTAAAATAATTAAATGCTGAATGGATTAGTTGACTATATTATATTTTACTAAACACACACGTTAGCAGTGCACAATTTCGGTGGTTTTTTCTTGTTTTCTACGGTTTTAGTGCTTTATGCAAAGTTATGGCAATGGATCGGTCAATATATTCAATGCGTGTAACATAGTATATATAAGGTAAGCTTATTTTCAAACACATTTTTTTTTTGTATAATTTTGTCTTGTAAATATTTCTGTTATGCTTTATATTTTTCTCCGTTCAAATAATTTAACATATTTTATTTTTATAATATTAATAGAAAAATATCTCCACAAAATGTAAACTTTCGTTAAGAGTTTTAAACATTTTTTGATTTAAAATATGTATAAAATATTTTTGGGTGAGGTTAAAAATAGTTTCTTTTTCGCAGTTTGGTTCTTTTTTTATAATTTTATTTTTATAAGCACGGGTGGTTTAATAAGAATTTTGTGTATTTTAGTGATAACGTAAGCGAATTACCGCTATACCAAACGGAATCTTCGACAGCGGAAAACATGTTGAGCCGATTGAAGTCGATTGCACACCTGCGAATGGCCGATATAAAAAAGCCGGTATTGGATTCAATAACCAGAGAAGAGCTGGAGGCGCTTAGGGACCTTTTAGACAAAAACCTTCAAAAGTACCAGAACTACAACGAACACTCGACGAGGAAACGGCCAAGCGACCCGTACATAGGTCAGATACTCCAAAACCTGAACGGTGAATCGCAAACATCCGGCAGCGATATCAACAACATGCAGCAGCAACACCACCACCACCACAACAACAACAACAACGATGACAACGGACAACTATCAGAGTACCATCAGATGCCCATCAGGCGCAAGATCATCAGGCACACGGTGTTCGCGACACCAATGCAGGGTAGCAACGTTGGCGTTCCGAATCGGATGTATAATAGCGGTGACGCGTCGTCGAGGATCGATTGGACGTCGCCTTGGGCTGATTACTTTCCGATATTGATCAAAGATCCGCTACAGACGATGATGAACTCATTTTCCGAGATCATCGAGTATGGTCCGGCTGCCGACATATGCAGGCACGGGAATGGCGACGATACCGCTGTGGCCAGCGAGGACACCAACCGGCTGGACGGTGCAGGGCGATCGTCCCGGACTACAAGTAGGATTTTTAGTGGCGGTAAGGTGTCCGCCATAGTACCGGAAACGCGAAGACGGTCGCGTCGGGACACGGCGGCTCCGCGATCGGAAGAGGAAAAAGGAGCGTTGCTGAATCACGTACGACCGTTCAAGCACACGACGACGACCGCCGCCACACCGTCGGATCCGTCAAAGCGGTTCGGCTGGTCGCCAGACAAGGAGGCCACCGAGCACAACGGCGACACGGGCCCGCAGATCAAACGGCTAGTGGTGCGTCGCGGGGGCGTGGCTATCGCTGGCCCGGGCGGCATAGCCACCGCAGGATCCGGTGGCACGGCGATCGTGGGCCCCGGTGGATCGGCGTACAGCAATAAGCACACCGCGGCCGGCTCTTCCGCTGACGCCCCCGTGCCGGCCGGTGGAATCTCGATGGCCGGCCACGGGCCACAGATGGTGCAGGCCCCTACCGGCTATTACGCACCTTACCCGATGCAAAACAATGGTTTCGCCAGGAGCTTTGACGCCGGCGCCGGAACAGGTGGCACGGCCTATCTGTCGACGGACGGCGTCGCGTACACGTTTCCCACGCCGTCCCAGGGACTGACGGTGTCCCAACGTCAGCGCAGCGGGGGCGACGGCCGTGAGATATCACTTCCGGACGGCGCCAAGCTGATAGCCACYGGACCGATAGTGTACTACAACCCCGAACCGTCCGTCCGGAAGAAGTCTCGCAAGAACAAAAAGTCCGGCAAACACGACCATCACCCGTTTTGACGACACCACCCAGCCACCGTACGTTTATCCGTTTGTTCCTCTACAACAACACAAGACTGTCGTGATATATTGCACTTGATGATAACAATATGATATTACTATAGCTCTATATAATTRTTGTGCCTCCATTGAAACTATACATAATACGATGTATACATATTATTATTATTATACGTACATAAGTTTACCATCGTATATTTTATAATAATATTTGTAGTACCTAACGCTCGTTTAAGTAGTAACCTATAACAATTATTATTTTCATATATCGTACTTGCCTATATAACATATTATACATTATGACATTGTATTTTAGTATTTATACACTAGGTATAGGTATATATATGTACAATAATTATAAGTCTCGTGATAGTTCCATGACATTTACTTGTATAATACAAAAATATTGTAAAATTTGTCATCCCCTTCGTAATTTGTATGCTCTTACTTTATMAATTAATAAGGTGAAGGCTATATTGTAATACTATGTATTCTTATACGAGTAAGATATTACGCATGCCTATAACTTTATTCATAGTAAATAATCATAATATTATCATTCGATATTTAATATACTATATTACTATCAATTTTTTTTTGTTTTTTTTAAATGTTTACTATTAATTCAACTATGAACACAGAGTGTACAAACTATTTATTTACCTATATTGTTTTACTCATTAATACGAAAAACATGTTTAAGTCTTATTTGATATTACCTACATGTAGGCAAGTATCAATACAACGTTATCTCAAATTCTAACTTATTTACTACCTATTCAATTTTATTGTATTTTATTTTAAAAATGTTTTATTCTTTTATTAAAATAATAACCATATCATTTACTGCAATAACCTTATTGTAATATTAACTCAAACATATAATGTGATTATGTGAATCATTTTGATTAATTTTTAATTTATTAGAATATTTTTATTGCAGTTTACAATGAATTCAAAACCATATCTTACACTAACACTGAATTTAATTTTTCATTTCTAATTTGTTCCCCGCTTCTATATGAACTTTTGTACTTTACATAAGTTAGATACCTACCTAACTGATAAATATTTTTTTTTTTTAAATTTAAATAAAATGTATATTTTACATTTTATTCCTAGGCTTTGTTGTAGAACGTTAATTTAGCTGTGAGGAATAATTGCAATCTTTAATTAATAACTAATCGAGATAATCGAGTTGACAAACTCTGTCGAGTATGGTTTAGTAGATATATAGAATACTATTAAAATTTTAAATATTTAATACAATTGGTTAGATAACACGTTAATGTAATACTTCGTTTGTGCGTTACCATGTAAGTATAATATTTCAATAAAGAAACCTAAAACCATAAACTAATAAAACGAGATTTTTTTACCAACGGAGGTAGTGATGTACCTACCATACGTGAAATCAGTAACAAGCCGTAGCTTTATGGTCATAAAGCTATATAACTGTGTGACTATGTTTATATATATATATACATGTGTGTATATGAAAAAAAAAATACAACAACAAAAACAAGATATACCTACTAACCTAAAAACAACAACTAGTTAAACAGAAAAACCAGATATACTGCATTTGAAAAAAAGTTTGATATAAAAACAATTATGTATACACTGTGTATCCGTGTATATGTAGGTATACATCACGTCAATTTGTTACTAACGGACAATACACTTTTCGTAAATTGCACTCAACTATAATGTATTAGTGTTCATTTTCCAATGCTCGTTATATTAATAGGTAGTAGTTTTATAAGATTATTTATTTCTAGTAAGTTCACAAAATATTACTAATTATACTACTTTATAGTATACATGATTAAAATTGTTAGTGTTTAAACGATCATGTATATACTCTGATTATATCATTGTTATCTACCAATGTAAGGCCTTTTTTTTTTTGTTAATCATCTATAGCTGCCACGTCATATTTTTTATAATTTATAACTAGCTGTATTACCCGAATCCGATCGGGTTGAAATGAATTAATCTTTCTATCGTTTTCCGATTTGCTTTTTAAACGTATAGTACAGAGCTTATAAACACAATTATACAATGATTATACTTTATTAATTACTTTTTATGATTTTGGATGTATTTTTTTTTTATGGAAGCACGAGAGCTGGATACCGATTTAACGAATAATAATTGACATAAAACTAAAATTTTTCAGATTGATAGTCGTATATTYTATGAGTTTGCATAAAAAATATATCCATAATCAAGAAGTTGCAAATCATAAAAGTAATCATTGTAATAATTATTATATTCATAAGTATTTGATTTTAAGATTTGAAAATTATACCACTGTCTAAAATGGCGGTGTTTTATTACAAAATACATAATAATCTTATAGGCTATCGCTTAGGCACATTAAGCCACTGTTAATTYATTATAAACATAATACACCAACACCATTAWTGGTGTACCAGAGCTCGAACGTCAACAMCCRACAAACGAAAACAAATAACACGTAAAATCAAACGTGCTTAACGGACAAACATTGCACGATATATCATTAGGGCCAAACGCCTAAACCTAACCGTGGTTATTGTATGCGCAGGTATCGGCTGCCGTACTGGGCATTCGTGCCGACGTTAGGCGTTTGGCCCGGATTCGCCGGAACAGGAAGCGGAACTGGGTCAGCTGTCRCCGCCGCCACAATCCCACCGCCACCCAAGGGATCCGTGGCCGTGAACTTGAACAGCGGCCGAGTGACCGTGGTAGACGACGTGGCTGACAGATCGGAAGTCGCAGACGCGGCCATCGACCCAAACCGGAAGCGGCGGCCGGCACAGGTCAAGCCGCTGCACTCGAACACGCCGAGCGTAGGAGGACCGAGTTGGCTGAGGAAGACAACAGTGGCGACGACGACGGCGGCGTCGGATCCAACCATACAGGCGGCGCAGGTGAAAAACTCTACTRCTGTCGCCACTGATAAACCGGTCACCAAGATATACCTGAAACCGTCAGCTAAGGCGAAGGCTGGCGCCGGCGGCGTGGCCCTTTCAAACCCGATCAGCACGGCCATAGTCCGCAGGGGTGACACGGTCAGCATTGAATACCTTCCGGATGCCACAGCGGAAGCGGGTGAAGGCGGCGTGGCTATATCCCGACCGGAACTGGTCATCCATTTTATCGACTGAAACAATACGCACACGCTAAAAGTTGAAGACACCACCATTAAACCATTATATTAGGTCTATAAATTGTGCCATAAATACGCGTTATGATATATGTTTTAWTATATTATTTATTTACACGTATTTACTACTTAAATATTATAATTACTATTTTTTTTTTTTTTAATAATATTTTACAAGAGTAGGTATTTTATATTTTCGTTTTCTAAGAACGAAAAAAATTATCTGGAAACAAATTGTAAGAAACTTGTTTCTATATAATGACTATTTATTTGTGACATACATGTATGCTCATCACAATTTTATGTGAAATGCCATAACTGTATAAAATGTCTTTACTTTGTCCAATCTGTCTGATTTTCTATATATAACGAATCGGTTTACCTATGACGTATAGAAACGGAGAAATTAAACGTGACACACTTGCCGGTTTTTTTTTTTAATAGCAAGTTACAATATTACTCACAGTTCACAATAAGACTTAACGTACCGACTAATTTATTACTGTTACCCATCAGCCATTATCTATTAATGCCTTTTTATATTTTTATACGAAAAATATACGCTGTACATAGTTGATTTGTGTTCTTGAATAATATATTTATYTTAATCCTCCACGTGCATTATTTTTACAATAYTATCTATTTAATTTAAGTTATATGTGATACCAYCTATTTATTTWAAAAAAAATTAGTACCAYCTAGGTATATAAGTAGACATTATTATCATGGCATTCGTAAATCGTTAGCACCATCGGAAAGTTTCAACTGTAGGAACTAAAAGCATTGCATCGGGCATTTCGTTGGTAGGTTTTGCTACTATATGGTTTACTTATTGATAAGTCTTGTTAACTTAACAATTAAAATAAATAARCTATTAGTAAACTTATAAGAATAAAAATAAARTAAACTGATAATGAAAAAAAAAATTTTAACTCTGAAGATATTCTTTTGTGTTTTTTTTATTCGTGTGAAAATATTGTGTATAATATTAACACGGATAAAAATGATTTACCTTGACGATAAACTGTACTAAAGTTGTAGATATAATACCTATGTAAACTGGTCCATATCGCAACATTTCGTTTTTAATAGTMACCCTAAAACCTAAGAAACYTCTACCGAGYTTAACATTTAGAATTATGTCTTCAAGAATGAATCTTTAAACATAAAAAGATACACAGAATTTCGGATAAGTTAATTATTCTTAATTTGAATAAATTTTCTAAAAACTCTTTATACTACGCTAAATATTTCAATATTTGGATAAAAAAAAAAAGGATTCTTCGCAGGTTTCCTTAGTACTGATAATTGTGTATGTAACATGACATTGTGTATTGGAACTATTTAAATTAATCGATATTATCAATAAAATTATTATGACTAATGACTATATTGACTAATTTAAAAATAAGTAGATTGTAACTTGTAGGTAATGGTCATGACATACATGATAGGTACATACTATTGTACATGTATCATATTATTTATATTTTTTATTTCTTGGTTTAGACGTATTGTAGTGATTTTGATTTGTTAWCGTTGACAATCAAATATAATAGTAATAATAAATAACAATATTGTCGTTAGTYGAGTATACCACATAATAATATTACTAGACTATGGTATCTTTACACTCTCTGGTTTTTAATCAAGTTTAATTTTTTTTACAACCCAAAATAAACATGAAACTAWATATACGCATTTTATAGTGATTGACAAGATGARAGTAATAAATTTAGGTATACTGAAAATGTGTGTATTTTATTATTACAATATATTTTATGATCCACGTTCAATAAAATAAAATACATATCGTTGTCATGTTCAAGGTTGTTCATGTTTTTGCCCAATTAATTTTCTTCACGATTACGAGAATCTTTACGCTGTCGATCACTTTATCCAATTTAAATTATCATCGTAGATCAACTGAACTACTCGTAGGGTTCAGTATACCGCGATAACTTTACTTTTCTATTATTGTTTTTCATTGTGTTAAAATATAATAATATGTGTAATTGAATATTTTTTTTTTTTTTGAACAAAAATAATATATTATCATACGTGGTAAAACTGAATCCGCATGACTTTACGTTAATATAGACAACGACAACTGGTTTAAAATGTTTACATCTTGCATACTCAGAACAGTAGCGAATCCAAAATCTAATACCAGGAGAGGAGGGGTGATGAATAATATGCAAAACAGGAGAAAAGAACCTTCCAGGATATAAGTCACATACTAACCACTATGRTTATTATATAGCGTTTGTCTGACGATAAGGAAGAATTTCCTAAAAACTTATATTATATTATTTAATGTGTCGTTATTTGGCCATAAGACAACGAACTTAGTCGAAAAAAAATAGTAAACTGGAATCCTTCGAGTTAAGTGCATCAGAAAAATACTTAAGATCTCATCGTGAATCACACATACGAAGAGGTGCTGGCAGKATAATACAAAAATAGATTAGGATGAAATACTAAGAAACGGCCAAACAAAACAATTTTTCTTGCAGAATAAGAATATTTGCATGGATTTATTTGTCATATTATATTAAAATGATTAAGTACCATAAAATATTTAATAACCTCGACAATTATATAATAAACTCAGGTTCCTTTACTGTATAACAGATCCTTACAATTCAAAGTATCTGCAACACAACAGACATCTCAACTACATTACATTACACGCTTTATATTAGTTTATTACCTTATAATACTGTACTAGCAATCCATGTTACACGTGTATCGTGTCTTATATACTATAGTATAGGCACCACTTTTCACTAGTTATCTATGTCCTATGATTATAATGTTTTATTTAAGGTTAATCAGTAAATTATTTTATTTTGTAATTAACAAAACCTTTTTTAATCTTTCAACAATTATTAATCAAATTTGAATAAAAATCAATTTAATTTTGTACATATTATATTTATTTATGGATATAAAGAAAATTTTTAAAGCTTTTCACAATAAGTAACAGATTTAGATCGTTGATTTCATAGTCATAAAAAATCTATTACCATAATTGATCCATGCCATCTAATAACTTACAAAGACTAAAAATGAAATATTGTTATATTAAACAAAGTATTGTATTAAGTATATGACGATATTATTATATTATAACACAACGTAGTTAAATAATCAACYTATTATGTTGTAAATGCTTGGCAAAACTTTTGTGGCAATAAAGACTTTCTTTTTGGTAAATTGTTCAAACAGATGACTTTTTTTGAAAATGTTGATGCTATTCATACAATTTTATCAAATTTATATTAATTACTATAATWTTCATATTATGATGATTTTGATTGCCAATTTTTGTTCAAACCTATTACCTTGGACCATTATAATAAAGCACATAGCACATAAGGCATATTGTTATATAACTTGGAAATTACTCTCTTTTAGATTTATATTGGACGTTAAAATGTTCATACAAATGATGTACTAAACAATTCGTAAAATGTGTGGGCCTCGTATGAAATCCAGACTCYACTACTCGACATTTCTTCTCTACAAAAAAAAATCTAAGAGTTATAAATACGATTTTGTCAATAAATAATCACGGCGTAGAAAACCTGAGGAAAAATCTGCCAAAACTAAAAAATTTATATCCAGCCCAAAAACATGTTTATGTTACAAATATTGTATATTTACACAAGACCACGCTTCTTACCTACGAGTAAAATGGGTTAACTTATAAAAATTAAAAAAAAAAAATCATAATTTTAATAAACTTACGAAGAAATAATACCTGCATCGTGATAAGCATACTGCAGGTTGAATCCCTTCGTATCTATTATAATAGGTATGACGACGATGGTGTTATAATATTACAACTATTATCGCGAAACTGTCTCTACACTCTACTGTGCATTCTGCATGTTGAACATAAATTCATTACAGCACCTAAATAATAATATTAATATCATCTGCTTACTATATTACAATATTAATATAGCGGTGCAACCTTAAAATGTAAAACGTCATCACATCGTCACGAACGTCTCGGAGGCTAACCAGCAGACGCGTTTTGACCGATCGCCAAATCCACGTTGGCCCATTTCGCCGAACCGTGCCTACAATATTATATTATAATGTAGTCGAAGAACAGTTATTTCGTCACCCCTTCCCCATATCCCACCCGGGTCGGTGAAACACGCGCTTTGAATTAATGTCGTTTTGCCGCCTGCTGAGGAACCATACGGACGAAAATCCCAAACAACTACACCTATACTTACCTATTTATCCGCGTTATTAGGTATGCGCTAATTTTTTTTTTTTTTTTTACTACTCGAAGCCAAACACTCCGGGCGAATGGCCATATCGCGTATCATCATACCGCGTACGCAAACCAGAGATTAACGACAACAATAATTATTGCATTAACAGGCACTATATAGGTATTATAGGTAGATATTATTATTATTATACTGAGCACATGGTAATCGCACGACACGCGGTCACTGCCACTCACTAGTGGTCAGTAGATAAGTATAATGAACGAAATCGACAAAGTAAATCTTACAAGCCAAGTGTTTTTATTTTAAATTTTATACATAGTACATCGTGGTGAAAAAACGCACACGAAAAATACGTTAATAATCGCGCAGGAATGCAGTGAAAACATTATTATATTATAACAATAGATGTGCCGCCCACTGATGGCGTGTAAAATGTTGTTGAAGACGCACTTATAGTGTTGTTTACCGACAATAATGTAAATATAATAATAGGCCATTATAATTGTATCCATATAAATACATTACTATGGAGTATATTGTGTACACTTYAGACGTTATAGAGACTAATAAAAAAAAAATAATAATAATGGATGCAGGTGCTAAAATGTTGAGAGTTCGGTTGTCTTAAGTGCACACCATCCATAAAGTATCCTGTACGTCCGCATTGTATCACAGGAGTTGATTTATTATATTACTAGTTACTACCACCTAACTGGTACCGATAATTATCATCAAAGTTATATATCGTACCTACCTTTGTCTAAATATAGGTACTGGCCGTACTGGAACTTATCGACGATATTATACGATGTGGTGTTTGTTTTTTCAAATTGTCTTTAATTTACTATTAAACGTATAATGCATAATACCAATTTGGACCCCACTTTTCTCTTTTTTAGCTAATAGTTAAATATATTTCACTATTATTGAATCTTATTATTATTACTCATATATTAATATTATTCACTTTGTTATATCACATTTAAACACTTTCATGTATCCTTCTTTATAACTCTTGTATGTATATATTGTATATGTTTTTTTTCTCTCTTCCTCTGTTTCTTTGTAAACTATTATACCTGTCCCTGTTATGTACAAAATAGTCCTGCCCGTATATTCTAAAAAAATTTAAAAAAAAAATTAAAAAACATCTACTGATATTTAGAATCAATGAAAATACGAGTATTAAACTAAATATTCGATTGATACCGTAATAACAACTTCAAGGCACTGACAGAAAAACTAGGATTAAAATRATATTAGGCACATTACATAAATGTAAAATGTATAGTGTATTTTATAATTATTTATGCGTGTTGTA